CATTTAAATAAACTGATTCTTATTAGTTTGTTCCATTTTGATATCGGTGACTGAACCATTTCTAAATTGTCTAAATCATTTACTGTTTCAGTAGACCATTTAACACAAGAACACCTAACTATTTGTATTTAGACAGTATCGTTTGTCAATCGTTTATTACATTTCGCAAACCATCACTAAACCATTTATGTTTGGTCTGTGCCGTTTAATAATCTTGTATTTTTGGTGGTGACGGCCGCCCATATCAGTGGCCAGTTTGAGCAGCGGAGACAAGAAGCTTATGCCTTGCTATTCGGAAGTCCCGAGTCCTTCTTACAAAACGAGTATGTGGAGAAACATGCTCCGTAGTAATGTTTAACAAGACAAAGCCTTCGCGATCGTTGCGGATAAAAACATTAATTCTTCCAAACACGCGCGTTGACCCCGGCCAAGTAAGTCAAGTGATACCACTCTCCACCACCCGCGTGGAAACCATTAGCGGCTGATAAGCACGTGATTGCTAAGTTGCCATTGGTCCCTTTTGTAATTATCAATTTGACGCGTTTGACAGCTGGCGTCTGCATGAAAGTGAGATTCAAGTCCAAGGTAACCAGAGGTTTTTCTTTCTCGCCGCTTCGCGACTCGTGGTCGCCGCTTCGCGAAAAGAAGAAAAATCAAGAAAAACCTCTGGGACCAGGGTACAGGAAATTCCAATCCAGCTAAACCGCACACTACTGCAAGAGGTGCAATTGTCTGTTGGCGGAGTCAAAAAGGTTCTGGTCATAGATACAAGTAGTTTTACTTGACAAGTGTGACCTGTTCCAGCTTGCAGCTTGCAGACGAACCCCCAGAGTGAGGAATTACGTTACTACTGTCCAAACATATCTTTTTGCTCTAACATTCGATTTCGAAATCACTTTACTCACTCTGAAAAAACAATGTGGAAGACCAAGTTTTTAGCTGTTACGTTACTGCTGCTAGCTTTAGCGCGGAACACCGAATCTTGGCGGCGGAGAAGACGAAGGCGCTCTCCACCACCGTGCCCCACGCGAAATTGTCTAGTCGGTTCATGGTCATCTTGGGGCGCCTGCAGCCGTCAGTGTGGCACAAGCGGAACGCAGAGTAGATGGAGATCAAAAGCTGTGGTGGAAACTTGCGGGGGAACATGCCATTACCCATTGAACCAGAATCGCGCTTGCAATAGAGACGCATGTAAGAATTCAGGTACCCCTCACAGTAGTGGATGCTCTTGTCGGCCGGGATACCGGGGAACCTGTTGTGAAAGTGGTAAGTTAAAAAATTATCAAACCATGCCCGATTGATATTTAAAACAAACAGTAGCGTAGAATTGACAATCGCTTTGGACTCGAAAATGTTGCGGTATTACGAAACCAATTAAGCGATGGAGTTCAAGGGCTCTCAAAGTAATTTTGTCTCTTTTTGATCAGGTCAAATATGAGCTAATCTGCTATCGTCGTTTTATTTTACATTTCGATGATCGCTTTAGGTTCTTGAGACCAATTACAATGCTGTGTGAAGAGCATAAGAGTTTTACTGCTAGTTTTATTACAGCTCTAACTTGATAATAGAATATCCCAGTAGAACGCTTATTTTCAAGTGGCAAATCCGGGCGGCAAATAAACGGCGTAATGACCTAATGACCTAATGACCTAATGACCTAATGACCTAATGACCTAATGACCTAATGACCTAATGACGGAAGATTTTAATCTGCGCCTAGAACCGCCTGGAAGCGTTTACCTAGCTTGGGCTATGTATAAATATGTCCAGAAAATTCTGGGAACAATTAAGCGAACACTTGCTAAAGAAGCAGACAATCCCCTTTCTTTTGCCTTTTTTTAACTATCGCATAGATAAAGGACTTAGAGGTCATCGAAATTCACTTCTCTCTAGTGTACTTAAGTTATATTTGAAATGCTAATAACATAATACTGGTTGTTGGGAGCCAGAACATTCTTAGTAGGTTTTTTAAAAAAAACACGTTCACTGCCACTTGCTCTCCAACACTTGAATGGAAGCTTTCAGTGGGCTTAACCTCAAACGAAAAGGTCACGAGCTTTGCCGGGGCATGTTTCCCGGAAATATATGATTTACTGCATGACCACCGTGTAAAATCACTTGACACTCGTAAGGATTATTTTAAGATGGTACATCCTGGCACAGATCGGTTCGTGGTCGAGCTGTGTCGAAATAAGCACACGAACGAAGGAAAACGCGCGAGTAGGGGGAAAAGGACAGTGTCCTAGACAATGAGCTACAGCTACAATCCCGGAAAAAAATTAGTTGGGACACTCAAGCTGGATCACGTTCCCCCATTCCCCCTAAACAACGTTAGAAAATGTCGCATTTTTTCCAACAAAAAGGGAAAAAATGACCTGATTATCAACACTGTAGATGGGGGGAGGGGAGAACTTGTTTGGTGTCCCAAGTTTTTTGTTCGGGATTGTAATCATCTCTTACTTTGTCCACTCTCACACACGCGTGGCGATTTTCGCGAAGTTCCCGCAGCGTGGAAAACGCGCGCGCAATCTACAATAATGAACGAAAAGAAAAGCAAGGAAGAAAGGCGGTTCTTATCAACACCAAACCTTTAACAAATCTCAACGAGCTAATATCTTACGAAAAAGCATATCATCTTATGACTGTAAATTTATTCAGTCTGCAACGCAAGTACATACCAACACGTTATCATCTCTTTCAAGCGCGTTACAGCACGCATAAATCACTGTTGACCCTTCTCAGGGTGTGGCAAATCGGCATGCATCACGTACCAATGAAACAAGTTTAAAATATGAACCTAAAATACCTAAATTTGTCTTCTTCGTCATTGGCTGAGCATAAGCGTAACTACCTAGACATTACATCACCGCGCTTTTTGCCTTCCGCTTTTACCAAGGGAGTAATTGTATTAATCCATTCTTTTTTTTAAGAAACAACAACAGCAGCAACAACATTAATTGAGACTTCTTTTAGAGGATACAAGATCTCAAGTTCTTTACACTGCTATTCCAACTATGTTGTCATTTTACATGTAAACAACCAAACTTGTGAATTTGCGTCTTTTGTGCGCTCTTCACCTACCCTGTTGTTTCATAAAAAAAAACTTTTGACTTTCTCTCTTCACAGAATTTTCCTGTTGTTTCGACTGAGTTGTAATTTGAAACAACCAACATTGTGATATCTTACGCTAAACAATTTTCTACTCGCTACAACTACGCTGTCATGTTAAAAGAACTGACAAAATTCTCTTTTCCCTGCCAATATAGTTTTTCACGTTTGTTTTACTTGCGCGCAATGCAGTCAGGTTACTGAAAATCGCGGTATTTCTAGTGCTTAAAAAACAAAGTTAAAAATAACGCCATTGCAGGTCACGCTGTACACATAGCTTTATGCAATCCAACTAAGGAACCAATGAGATCACGCGCTACATGGCTAAAATTTTACAGAAGCTTCCAGGGTCTGTGAACAGATTTTCTCTTTCGGAACTATTCTTCTTAACTGATGGTTATGATCTTTATCTAATTTTATCACTCATAACTTTTGCCACTTATTTTCGAAACATTAATCAAGGTGGCTCTGAAACCCAAGTACAGAATTTTGTTAAACTAAAAGTTGTATCTTATCTTGCTTATCAAAATTCGATGATAAAAATGGGTTTCACGGTGCCGTTGTTGAAATATAGTTACTAAAAGTTAAATTTAGGTTGTTTTTAGTAGTTCATACTGTTGCTATGGTAACCTATTGTGTCATGAAAATGATAACAAAGTGTTCACCAATGATTTGGCAACTTTTTAATACCATGATTGCAGCATCAAGTGATAAAGGGTGGCTATAATGACCAATCAAAATCTAAGTCTTGGAAAGTGTTGGAAACTGTTTTGAGCTACCTTAGTTGATCCATAACGAAACAATGTGCCGCCCATAGATTTCCACAGAACTTGTTTTTCTTCCTTACAGATGTGAACGAGTGTCAGAACAACCCATGCCAACACACGTGTACGAACACGTTCGGTAGTTTCACATGCAGCTGTTATTCCTGCTACACCAAAGTCGGATACAACTGTGACCTGAGGCAGTGTAAAATCAGCAATCGGTGTTACTCATATGGTACAGTGAATCCCAGCAATCAGTGTCAGGTCAGATACATGTATACATACATAGTTTATTTAATTAAGCAGGTTACAAAATCGGCAAGACTAAAGTCCCGATGTGGAGCGGCACTAACTAGATGTAAAATACATTAATTACTTACTGATGTAATATGAGAATGTCTTACATAAATGAAACAGGGAAATTAGCCTCAAGAGTTGTTAAAGTCCATTGAAGTAAAAGAAATGCTACAGGAGGCTTTCTCAAAACTTATAGAAAGTTTCTTTTCCCTAATTAACTTCTTAAAATGACTAAGACTGGGAGAGTATTTAAAGGAAATGGGAAGGAGGCTCCAGCAGAGGGCAGCTTTGTGCTTAAAAGATGATCTGTCGATCTCTGTTCTTGGTCTGGGAACCTCAATGGTTGCAGTCCTGCTAGATGAGAGCAAATAGGTTAGATTAAAGTAGCCTCTGTCAGGCGTTCAGTTCGTTGGGGCGCAGCGCGAAAAACAGCGCGAGAAAAAAATAAAAAAGCGCGGCGAGAGGAATCTCGCCGCGCTTTTTTTATTTTTTCGCGCGCGGTTTTTCGCGCTTCGCCCCAACTAACTGAACGCCTGAAAGTAAAGGAGCCCGGGAGTTAAAAGGGAGGGAACCGTGTAAGAGGCGGTAAACAAGAGAGGAGAAAAGCGGGATTCCTTAGCAGCCAAGAGAAATAAGAAAACATTTCGTAGCATTGCGTAAAAGAATAAAAAACTGTTGGGGGGTGGCGCATAGCAGAGGACAATATCAGAGAATGAGTGATATGCTGTTCTCAAAAAATAACTTTCCCTGCATAAAGATATATTGCTATTCAACAGGATTGTAACAGCACCAGCAAGCTAGCCTGGAGAAACAACAACGCTTTGTCGTGCAGTGATAATAAGGCGTGCACTAAAAATGACCGGTGTTCAAATGGTGTCTGTTCTGGAACGCCATTCACGTGCCTTCCGTGTGAAGAGTGTTACAATGACGCATGCCGCGTGAAACCAGGATACTGTGTGATCAACGATGGTGGAACACGAAAATGTTTTAACCATGGAGACATCCGACCCGGATATCCTTGCCAGGTAAAATAGTGAACAACTATTGCATACGCAATACTGATCAGCTAATAATTTCTCAATATGTTGATATATCGACTTTGAGAAGGAAGGTAATGAGATTGAAGAACCTGATTATCGGAAGAGGTAAGTTTTGTTTAGACAATGTAGGAAGGACTATTCGGAGGATTTAGTTTTCCACGCTTGGTTTTATAACAAAATCAGTCACAGAGGTAGACAACCTGTTTAGTAGTTTTGGTGTTCAATGAGAAACACAAGCAAAAGTCAGCTTCGCAGACTTTGCAGAAAACAACACAATAAGCAGTATTAATTGAACGTATTTCTCAGTAGCTTTGAATGGTCAGGAACTACTAGGGTTTTATCCAGGAACTTACGACGGCAACAGTCCTTAGCACTTTCTAGTAATTATACTACTATCAAATGATTTTACAATATTGATGTCACACAAATGTGCAATCATTGTTAAAGAAATGTGGTTATCTTCATGGCATATGCTTCCGCAGCAACGATACAACCAATCAAAAACACCCTTGATTTGGCATTTAATTGCTTATAACTCAAACACGGCTCTGTGAAACACATTTTTATATCGAATTGTGATAACCATGAAAACAATTTTTTGCAGAGTTTCAAAAGAAGTCAGTCAAGACGGTTCAGAGCCATCTCAAATTTTGAAAATTTAAGGGGACTCTGATCTGAACCCAGCACGACACGATTAATAGTCTTACAATCCTCCTAAAACACAAACCAACCAGGTGATCTGAAATGGAGTTTAATGTAATATTAGTCACGATGGTTTATTTGTTTAGCAATGTGACAGCAACCGCAACAATCAGTGGAGCTACAACAACAATCTCCAGTGCAGTGACAACAACTTGAAGACCAAAAATGATCGGTGCTCCAGCGG